TGACACAAAAATCAGCCCATAGACCGCCTTCAGTAGCTGTGGTCAACGAGGTAAGATGGCATCACACATCTGGAATGATTAACAAACAGTTCAGGAAAGGACTCATTCAACAAAACTTTATTTAACTGAACACTTAATACATTTGTCCAACCTCAAGTTTCCTTTAAATAAACAAACTATTTTCTGCTCTCGGTGTAAATGTTTCTTTTTTTCTTCTCTGTGCTGCAATGTCACATTTAACTCAACAGCACTAAAACTACCAAAAAAATGTAACTTAATAAATGACAGATATAGCCATGAATGTGGGATATATCTATAAAAAAAACCATTCAGGTTAAAAGTCAAATCTCTGTGCTTTCTTTAAAGTAACAATTTGCAATTTTCAGTGTAACAGCAACTTACTGAAGGTGGTGGCAAATGCATGACTGTGCAATAGGCAATATTTTATTTTCTTAAAGCTGCAGGAGGTAACTTTTATAAAAATACATTTATTTAATAATCTGATCTAATCTGGTTCACTGTTATGTAAGTAACAACATGTTGAGCAGAAGCTGTGCGCTGACTGAACACAACATCCAGTCAGTCAGATACAGCTCGGACATTTAAACCGCACTGATCTGCTGCTGCATTCTGAGGGACATCTGAAAAGGACTTTCAAACTTAAAACTATTTGGTGCTGTAACAGCTGCGGTACATTTTAAACCAGCTCAGAGTGTCATATAAAACAGGTCTGTTTACACCTGTGCGTCAGGACGTCCGCTCCTGATAGTTCCATCGTCTCCATGGTGCACAAAAAATACTGATTTTGTACAATTTGATGCCCTCAAACCAAAATAGTTATGTTTTCAAATGAATACACTATTGTTAATACATTTACACCTGTCCCAGGATATTCAAGGCATGCTTTCCATTAAATTACCAGTTTAGTTTAGAAATTGTGGAATAAAAGTTTCAGGGATTTTTTCATCAGAACCTTGTCTTAATGTGCAGCTCAAAAAAATTGATTAATTTTTATACAGAGGACGCTTTTAATGTTTTTACGTTTTTGTCATAAGAAAAATATATTTTTTAAAGTTTTCTCACCTCTACGGTAATTGTTCCACTCAGGGCGACTCCTGAGTGGAACAATTACCAACAAGTGGTCACTGATGGGGGGTCCACTGAAGACCATTTTCCAGCTGTTCAGTTTTCCACAATATAAGTAAATCACTTCAAGTTTGTTGTCTAATGAGGTCCGTTTATGCAGTATATTCAGCGGCTTCAGTTCTCCAAAAGTACTCTCTCAAAGTGGAGGCCAGCTTTTAGCTTCAGCTTTTGTAGCAGGTCAACCAGTGTCCAAATGCACAGAGAGAAATCAGAATGTCTGCAGAGCTTCTATACCTGACCTTGGTCAGGTCATCATTCTGTTGCCAGGACATGGCAAATATAGTCATATTTAGCTTATTTTATTTTTGTTTCTCTAATGTGGCCTACTTAAAGCTGCAGTAGGTAACTTTTATGAAAATAACTTTTCGTCATATTTGCTAAACCTTTACTATATCCTGACAGT